AATCCTTTCTTGATTCAACATTCACAGTGTTCACTGTACGCTTGCGACACACAGCCATCCAGTGATTTCGCTTGTGACAATAAGAGCACAATGAGCCTTTTGCTGGACATTGTCCCTGGTTCCATTTATGCTGCGGGTCTTTTCCACAGCTTGAACATGTTTCTGTTTGCTTGTGTGATTTTTGCTTTTGCAGTGTGGGCTTTAACTGACCTTTATTGAAGACTTTCTTGTTTGACACTGAGTGTTTTGGTCTGGCAGACATTACTGATACTTGGGAATCCTCTTCTCTGACGATTTTGATTTGTTTTTGAGAGAGCTCAAATTGTTGGGAGATTTCTATGGCCTTAGCCAATGTTAATTCCTCGCCTTTGTCAAGAAGTCTCTCTTGGACTTGCTTTTCTCGTACCCCAGCAATTATTGCATCAATTAGCATGTCGTCTGGGTCGGCATATTCACAGTCCATTAGTATGAGCATCAAGTCCTTCAAAAACATATCGAAACTTTCGAGTTGCCCCTGTTTCCTTAGCTTGAAGCGGTGTCTGGCTATCCTTTTATTTTTTCGTGGTCTGATGTAGCTAGCAAATTTATCCAGTACTTTAGATGGATCGTCTTTTTCACCATCAGCCCAGGACATTGTTTTGTAGATTTCCCTACCTTGTTCACCGATCCAAGTGCCTAGCCAGCCAGCTTGTTGTTTAGCCGCTAACTCCGAAAGAGGACCGTCGAAGACAAACATGACAGGACTGCGGAATCTTTCGAACTCCTGATACATATCCGGAGCGTCCCAGTCGATTTTAGGGTGATCGAATTGTGAGGATGCCATAACGGTTCTGGTTCTTTCTATTGTTTGACTTCTGACACCATGTAATATACTGCACACAGAGACAGGTGTGTTTCTCTGTCTGATGTCTCTTTATTTCGTGCCGTTTCTTGGTGGTTCTTACAACAAGACCGCGTTACAGGTCACATGACTATGGATGCCCAGCGGAACAAGAAACATACTGGAGCACAATACTTTACAGTGGCCATTGAAGTCATGTAATTCATGGTCACAAATTGATTCAACAACAGCAGCAGCAGCAGACTGGGTGGCTTGTGAATGAACTTGCATGG